GGGTAAACAGCTAATGACACATCTACTGTTACATCGTGGGGTCTTGATTTAGATCAGGCAATACCAGAGAGGATAGGGTCTAATCAGGAGAGAATGTACACCCTTTCTCTCATTCTTTCTTTAATTTTCCCTCAGTACCTCCCCTTATGTTCCTCTCTTTTCTTCCTTTTCTCCTTCCTTACTTACTTTACTGTGCATTTCCATATCTGTGCAGGGATGTTTGTGGAGACTCAACAGAAGGAGAGACACGTTCTGCCCTCAGCATTGGTGACTCCTTTTGAGCCAATCAGTACTTAATTTTCTATTAGAAAACCGGAGACTCAAGCTATAATAAAGTCTTCATTTTTCTGCATTCTAAAACATCAATGCCACAGCTTTCTGTTGCCTATTATACCACTGTCACTCATCTCATTCACAATTTCAGCCTGATCAAAAAAGTATCAGAATTCTGATGGGTATTCTATAATGCAAATTTATAATACCCCACAAGGAAGTCAATATTTTGAGATTTTTTACTGCAAGTGGATGCTAGTCAGAGTGTGTGCCGGTGTGGTTTAACTGCCAGTGTATGTCAAACAATACAGTATTTTGTCATGAGACATCTGAACTCGGAAGTATGTGGGAAGCTTTTGTAGGCAAAGGTGATTATAATATTTTTTTTAATTATCACAATTTCATCTGTTTTATTCTAAATGATATTCAGCTGAACTGACCTGTTTGTGTGTGACCAAGCACACTTTCAAAAAATTGAGATTTATTAAATAAATGCAAACTTACACCACCATAGAAGCAGCACTGAGGTTGCATGCTCAGCTAAACATATGTGTTATGATTTACATGAGATAGCTTTTCTCAGGGTTTCTAAAATGCCGGTTAAGTTTAAAAGCTGACAATTTATTACCGCAATCCACAAAGAAGCATGGTGTTTTAAGCGGTTCAAAATTAAAGTTGTAATTACAAATCATTTGGAAATTGTGGGATCTGACAGACAGGGAGGATGAGGTGTTGAATGGAGGGATGATAGGATGAAGGGAGGGGGGCAGAGGATGAAGTAATGTGCCTGCACATAGCGCTCCAGCCGGGGGTCAGATCCTGTTCATGGAAACCATCTGGCCAGCCAGCTCGATCTGAGCCACACCAAACATACAGTGCACATGATTCTCCTCTCTATAGCTCTCTCACTTCCCTCCTGCCTTTAAACTCACCTTCTGTCCATTTTTTTCTCACTCTTCCTTGCTTCCTAACCTCCCGCTCCTTTCCATCACTTTACCTTTTCTACCCCACTGCTTTTTCTCCTCTTTTTCTCTCTCAAAAAATATCCTACTCATTAATGCATGGCAGCTGCAGGGAGCAGTGTTACTTCATTTTTCCATGGCAACGGTCTTTCTGTTTCAGCAGATCCCATTTCAGTTTTGGTAGCAACGTGCTCCTTTGCCAGCGCTGAACACATTCATGTGTTAAATAGAAGGAATTATTTCAAAATTCCTGAAATAGAATCACCATCCTGATCACTTGCAATTATTATCAGGGCCAAGAGAGAACATGGGTGTCCTCGGGGAGAGTAGGGTGGAGAAGGGGAGATGACAGAATGAAAAGGGGTAAGGGTGAGCAATAGGGTGGGGGGGAGGGGAGGGGGGAGCAAGCAGGAAATAAGCGGGGGTAAAAACACGTGGGACAGAAAAGGACTTGAGAGGTAAAAAAACACAAGGCAAAGTGAGGAGCTCAGGACATGTACTATATTTAAAGAGTAGCACAGAAATAAGCTGGAGCATGAGAGGGAAGCAAAGCTGAGGGTCACAGCTCCAAGGCTGAGTGCAAGAGGGCATTTGAAGATGTTCCAGGCCTTTCTAGCCAAGGTGACAATTGCAGCACTGCCCTTCAGCTCTAATGTAAAGTGACCATTAAAATAACACCACCTACACATATTATAGCCTTGCATGACCAAGAAACTTAGCTGGCTCTTCAAGGAAACACACAGAGTCACTCATTACATCCACAGCAAGGATGATCTGTGCTGTACGTAATGTCAAGAGACTCCACCATCATGGACCTAAGGGGCTTAGTTTGGATGATATGTTTCTCTGACCTCACCATGCCTCCTGCAATAGTGTGACAAAGACACTGGCTCTTTTGCTCTTACTGAATTAATGACTAGGGCCTATTTGTCCAAGCAGTGATTTGCATAGGTATAAACCTCATTTCTCTTTGAACAAGCCAACAAGTCTGTTTTCAATATTAGTTGTCCATCTGTCTTTAACATCGCCAGTTTCTTGACAAAATTGAAGGAAGTTCTTTGATGGCTTTGAATTAATTATGAATAATGTTTTGGCCATTTTCACTACACCCATCCTACCGAGGTAACAGGAGAAGAGAGTCTTAGAAACTGAGATAGATAGGAATTAACTGTATTTGAAGTTAAAGAGGAACCATGGCTCTGGACCATTTCTGGGGTTTGGTTGAAGCACTCAGCCACAGACAGAGCGTGACACTCATGGATTCAGATAATAATCTGTGCCCTAACCACGCATGACGGGACATCACCAGGAATCTATGCTAACTAATTCTGGCATTGAAAAAGACAAGTATAGTGTGATTTTAGAGCAGAAAGCTACAAATAGAAGCAGTGCATGTTCTGCTTTTTCCAGCTGCTATTCTGGTTTTATACTTCGAGCGGGATATGTCTAAGACATTACATAAGCTATATTCAAGTATAGACTCACACTGTAATAAAATGCACAGTGCAGTAACACAGAATTGCTTGCACAGACTTTTTTAAAGGTCTGCTACTTTTTGAAGTGAGATAAGAGATGCTGCAGCAAAAAGTATTTAAACATTGAACCATCTAAATATGTGACCAAAGTGTATAATGGTAAAATAAAAATATACAGCATGTTTTATTTCTTGTGGTTTCAGTTTTTTGTGAACTGCTGGCATGAATAAATGACAAGCACAAACAGCTGCCCATGTAAACCTCATGGTCTGTACCTTTTCCATTCTGTTTTAGCGGTATTTTCTTATCTCATTTCTATGAAAATTAGCAGTTTTGCGTCTATGCTAGATTTGTATGTCCTTGTCTCCTGCTGTGAATCTGTAGAAAAGAACTGATGCCACAGCGACAAAGTATCATGACCACATTTGAAACCAGTACTATAATTTTTATATTTTTAAAAATATTTACACAATCGCTAGCTGTCACGTCCCCTTATTCAAATTAAACAGGCTTAAGTGGTCTCAGCAGCAGTGAAATAATAAATACTTTTTTAACATTGTATCCCCCAATCTCATTAACCCAACTTCTCTCTATCCGTCTTGCTCCTCTCTCTTTAAAAGATGGAAAGAAAGGCCTGCATGCTAAATTGGGCACATGTGCAGCAGAAGTGTGAGCCATTAGGTATTCTGTTTACACCACACTAAAATAAATGGAGTGGTTTAAGTTTGGGGATATCCAAGACCTGGGGTACCAGCTGTTGGGTTATTCGGTTTGGTTCACTTCCACTCCCATGTCAACAGGACAGAGTGTTTCCTAATTACTGCTGCAGTACGTGGTGTGGTCCCAGTCGCACAGCCGAAGGGGACAGAGGAAAGTGGAGGCAATGACGGGCTCAGCAAACTATTAGAGGGTTGAGTTAACTTTTGTGGAAGTACTGTAAACAGCCCAATGGACTGACATGGGGCCTGGGTTCTGGAGCATTATTTCAATTCACACATGTCATGCTCTCTTTCTTGTTTGACTGACATCAGTTTGTGTGGTCCTAGCACTAAGAATTAGGATGATTTAAGAATGGGTGTTGGACTTGTGCCTTATTGATTATTGTTTACATTGAAAAAAAAAAAATGCCTATAAGCCATATTTCAAATAAAGAATTATTAGGCTGTGACTAAGTCCTGCAACTGAGCATCAGTGTTGCCATGAATAAACCAACTGATAACTTCTCTGCACTTGTAAAGACCCACCTGCATATACAAGAGTTCAGCACCAGAAAGACATGAAAATGGAACTAATCTCATTCATGATCCATTTTAGTGAACTGTGAGGTGATAGTCTGTTCGCATCGAAATGTAACTGTAACCTTTTTTTGAATAGTTAAAAAATATGTCAGTCTTCTGATAATGTCAGAGGTGTAACTGCCTTATTTTAAGATAATTTCATTGCTTACAGGGGTCAGCCAAAAGCCGGAATAATTGCATGCGGCCACCATCTTTACAGTAATACTTGCATACTGTAGACAATCAGTCAAATTGAACCTAACATACCACTGAGCTCAAAGACGTCCATATGCCCCTTTCAGTAATGTACCCCACGTGAGCACTGTATGCATAGAAACAGACACATGTGCATACACCATGATGTCCTGCTCTTGCATCAAGAGGAGGCCTGTCAGAGACTTGTCAGCACTTCCTGATGTACTTCAGATGGGGCTGGTTGTGATGTGGTCTCTGCTAACTGGTCCAGTCAAGATGCAGCAAACAGACACACAATGGGAGCACTTAACTGTCCAGTTAGACACTTAAACAGACAGACAAGGACATCCAACCAGCGAGTCAGCAAACCAGAAAGTTAGACCACCACAAAGGTACATAAGACACTATGTATGCAACTGTACGTAAAACAGGCTAACAGAAGTCCATATGGCCACAACCACGGGGAGAGGCTAGCCCTGCTGGGTGGAGCTGAACATCAATACTGTACTATATCAGAAGAAAGAAAGAGGTGGACAGAAAGAGAGGTTAATGGTCTCTAAGGCAAAGTCAAAATCCAGGTTTTGTGCCATAAACATTTCAGCTGGACTCTTGTTGACATGTGTGCTTGATCCCAAGTCTTCAAGTGTAAAGACATACCACTGAGTCATCTCTGAAGTGGATAGTGTAAAGTCTTGCAGATCACCAACTGATTGGCAAGAGCAAAGGACCACCATCCAAACTCTGTGACAAGGAAATGGGTATCTTGTATATCTGGTCCTCTACACAAACCCAGCAATAATGAGAATCTAGTTTAGTACCTGTACAGTAAGTCGCTTAACAGCATCCCAGGCATGGGTGATGAGTTCCTTCATTTGCTCCTCTGATGTTGTCCATGACTCCACAGCTGTGGTGTCAGGCATCACCCTCACTGGGATGGACAGGGGACGCGATTCTGTGAAAAAGGAAAAGGATAAAGGTGGAATTAGATTCAAGCTTATCCTCAGCAATTAGTTTCATTCCATTTTTCTGCACTGTATGTATCCAGTACTGATATCACCTAAATATGCTGAAACATTTACTCCACTGCTGAAGTAACCTCTTTACCACAGAAGTCATGTAGCACCCTGTAAAGTCTCAAATAAAATCAATGTTTTATTTATTAACATGAGAAAATGTACTGTCCTGCATGTATCCTTTATTCAACTCTCTTCATAATTCACTGTTATTTTCATTTGCTGTCCAGTATCATGTTATATGATGTTTAACTGACACTTCATTGAGGTGATGTAATGTTGGCACTCAGGTTTCTTGTCTCCTACAGCGTAAGAGGGAATTATGAGAACTGAGAGAATGCATGCTCGCACACACACACACACACATCTAGTGTCCTAGACATGACATGTCCTAGTGTGCCTGCTGTGGTCCAGACGAAGGCTGATTGTCTGTGCTGACACTCATGGCAACAGTCAAGCACAGCAATCACACAGCAACAAAACTATTCAGCTCTTCTTTGCACGAACCACATGAACCTGAAGGTCAAAACACACCTCAAAGAGACAGTTGTTACAGGAGGAGAAGACAGAGAAGAAGAAAGTGAATGTAAGAGATGTACAGAAGCAGAAAAGGAAGGAATGAGACAGAAGCATATAGACAGAACACACACTCTACCAGGTTAATCTGAGGTCTGTGGATGTTAAAGCCATCAGGGCGTCAGAGGTTAGGGAAGGGGGGGTCTCTCTAAAGACACATTAAGACATATTCCATGATTTAAAGGTCTGCCTTGCTCAGCAGCTCTATCCCACAGTTGTCATGAAACAGTGGTGATGTCACAGCACCACAGCTTCTTCTCAGACTCCACGCTCCCAAAAAAAATCCCCAAATAGGTTGTCATGGCAACAACCGCATGCTGCTGGGGTAATAGACAAAAAGAATGGTTAGTTACACTGGTTTGTGGTTGCTGTGGCAACCTGCCTAAAACTTGTGGGTCATGCTTGTGTGAGTGTGCATGCACGTGTGCAAATGATTGAGTAACTAAGGTCACAGGTGCATGTGTGTAAAGTTTGTGTGTGTGTTTAAGTGGAAGAAAGCAGACTGAAGGCCGAGATGATTGTGTCTGGACTCTCTTACAGTATTTTCTCACGCTCAGCATCCAGGTGCCTCTGGCACTTGGGGACTATGAAATGGACTGTATTTGTCATGATGCCTACAATCAGTGTTGCACTGCACATTTTATATATTTGGCAACCTATATTTTCCAATTTACCTTCTCCCTCACTTTTATTCATCAGATTCATTCTTTTTGTGCGACTTTAACACAACCAATTCCAGTGTTCTTATACTAAATACCCACATAGTCAAGGATGGCAAAAATTGACTTTGACAGGACAGATTGTGTTTCATGGACTGTCTTTCATTGGGTAATGTGAAGGGAGCGCTGCATAAACTGCTGTGATATCATTGAGTTGTCAATAGAATTTTGCTGTAAAGGACTATGTGTATCTTGGAGCTTTCCTGTCACACTGCATTAGAAAGCTATTTCCTATTCAGCTCTGCAGGGGATCCATATAGACATGACAGAGCTCTGTGGCTACTGCTCTCTGTCATGTGGCCCAGTTGTCTAGACATGAGAGTCGTCGTTACTCCGGGGAGTGGGCATGCTGTGTACGTAAACATGTGTATGTGTTTAATTGTAATGTAAATTGTGACAGTGTAGTCTATCTGCATGTGTAAATTTTATTTTTATTTTTTTAGTGTTTGCATGAGTCAATGTCTGCAGCCATGTGAACATGACTGTGTATGCACACAACCATTTATCGAAGTGTGTTTGAAGTTAGTCCGAGTGTGTATGACTTAAATGTAATTGGTAGTTATCACTTGCAATACTACAATCTCACAACTTTGTTCAGTGTCCTGGTTTCCTTGCCCCACATGTTCTTGCTCAACTAAACGCCTTACCACACTGGAAAATAGAACATAAACATGTACCCAGACACACTCTACTGACAACACATAAAAAAAGAGATCCCATAATGAGTTCATACAGTCACCAATCATCAGTGATGAAAACTTAGAATAAATAGAGACCACCCTTCTGAGTTTCAAAACCATCTATCCTGGTCACACACACTTGTACCATGTCCCTCCAGTTTACAAAAATAATCTATTACATGTTAGTCTCAGGGTGGAGTGGACGTTGCATGACTAGCAATTGGAAACTATCTGTGTGTGTGTGTGTGAACTTTGAAAATACAAGACTGAGTGGAGTTTAAATGCATGACCAAGAATACACAGGCTTAACATGAGCAATATACAGTATACACTCACATAAAACTTAGTAATTAATTTTATAATGGAAAACACTGACAATAAGGATTAGTCCATGTCTACATGAGGGCACTCACACACACGTCAGCCCAGAGCCTGGAACCAGGCCAACAGAAAAGGCCACAGGCAGGTAGTGCTATCACCATTAAACTACTAAGCTTGTAACACCCTGACCCCTTGCTGCTTTCTTACCTCAAATCTATATTTTGTTCAAAAAAGTATTCTTGTCATTGTTCTCAAAGATCCCATCGCTTTTTAAAAAAAAATTATGATTATTATTACATTTTGGAAAGGCCACAAGGGCAGTATTGGCTGCAATTTTCATCTAAAAACTGGTTATTGCCCTTATCCTGGCTAACCTTGACCCAAGAGAGACCAAGGAGAGGATTTTTGATCTTTTTTTTTTTTTTTTTAAAGTCTTCTTTGACTTTGCCAGACTGTGAAAGTTCCTCCCCAGAGAGAGTCTGTTAGGCCAATCACAATGTGTGCTTTAGTAGACAATGCAAGGCCAGTCTGCATGAAGCTCTCTGCTTGGTTTTAAATACCATTCCAGGACTCTGTTTGTTAATCCTGGGGTCATTATTTGGAATGAAACTGCCATATCTTGTTATAGTGACTTGGCGCCTGCCATTCCTGCAGGGAGGGGATTGAGAGAAAGAGAGAGGCAGGCAGGGACAGAGCATAAGAAAGACAGAGAGAACACAAGAGGTCTAAATTCAAATGAAAGAGAAATATGACAGGAGCGCCCAAAGCTCTTAAACCTGCCCAGGCCTAACAAGTCCTGTGAGTCCTCTTAAAGTGGGGTTATTCCCCCTGCCTCGTGCCATCTCAGCCATGTCCTCATTTTCACCCTCTGCTAGGCCATTAGGCTAATATGTTATTGGCCAAATTCTGACCATACAGCCTCTCCCTCGCCTTTCCTCCTCTGTTTTGTTCTCACTCTCTCCAACCACTCCCTGTGTCTTTCTCTCTTAATGTTCAGCTGGTTTGTGAAGCTGCCAGTCCTGTCCCCTATAAACATTCTAGTGTTCTGATGGTGATTATTCATCCTCTTTAACAGCTCCATCACATCTTCTAGCAAGAGAAAGGACCGTGTCTTTGAAGCCCACAGCCTGAGCATGTGTCAAGTGATCAGAGAAAATGCAGAAACCAGAGCCCCATTACAACACGTTGACTTTAAGGCGAGAAACAAATCAATGTTGCCTCATTTCATGATCACAACACTGCCACAGCAGGGTAACACGGCTGTAAAATGTGTGAGGGTGTGCGGTGTGGTGAGTGTAAATCGCACATCATTCTAATGTGCGATTCACGCTCACAATTGAATACACACACACAGACCCTAATATACCCGCAGTCACAATGAAACACCAACATCAGAACAGCGCCAGTGAACTTTCCACTACAGATTTAACAGTCTTCACAACAACAATAGAGCAAAACATCCATATGTCTTTCCCCAGTGGTTGAGTAACTCAACCATAAAAACAGCCTCATTGAGGGATCTCTGCATTTCCCCATGCCGCCTGCTATCTCACTGGTATGTTCCCTATTACAAATGGTTTACAGTGAGTTGAAGTGTTGTATATTCGGTTACAGCTGCGAGCAGAGGCAGCAATGGGGCTCTTTAATAAACCTGCCCGCCTATTTGTTTTGGATGCAAATCAGTGTTTATTTAAATATTTACAAGACATTTGTTATGGAGTTATTAAGACTCCTATGAAAAGTGGACTTGTGGCCATGCTGACTGAAACAGGTGAGGAGTGAGTGGGGGGATCAATGGGTGGCAAAAGAACTTTTTAGAATTTTATCTTGCCAATTTATTTCTACTTATCCACACATACTGCGTCCATAGTATGAGGTCATCAGAAAGTTCAGTGTTCCTGCTCAAAGCGCATGAAGCATCGCAAGGTCATGTGCATGCAATGTGAGCAGTAACTGTCATGTCTCTGGATGTTGCCGCAATCAACGTCAGGACCTTTCTTACAGGTGTTTTTTGTAAACCCTGACAAGTACGCAATTCCAATTTCACCATGGATGTAAAATTGGACCAGAGAGCAAACATCTCGTTATGTGTCAGTCAACAGCTTGGGATGAAGTAACCTTTATGCTGAGATTCATAACTGGTGTTGGGAGGTAGTTCTATGGTTGTGACCCAGAGAACAGTCTTGAACAGAGGCTGAAGAAGGCCCAGTGAGGTCAGGAGATGATCATTTTCTTTCACATTCATAGAATTGTGCAATGCAAATTCATCCCATGGAGTCAGACTGTGAAAACAGAGTTCTACTGCAATGTTTTGAGGTGTCTGAGGAAAAACGTTCTGCGCAAATGACCTGAACTGTGGCACAATGGCATGTGGGTGCTCCAGTTGCTATGCGCGCCTGTTCACTGCATGTTGAATACGCCTTACTTGCAAGATTTGGCTCCCTGTGACTTCACCTCTTCCCTAAAATGGAATTCATGTTGAAGTCATCATGTTAAAGCAGTAGATGAGATTTAGCGCAAGTCACAGATGGTGCTTGAAGCATTTACATGACAGGATTTCCAAGGACCGTTCCAGACGTGGCAGGAACGTCAGGTGCTGTGTGTCTCTGCACAAGAAGGCTATTTTGAAGGGGATCCTTGCCA